TCCGGCGGCGCTCGGCGGGGGGGTGGGCTCTGGCGGCGCGGCGCTCGGCGGGGGGGCGGCGCTGGGGGGGGTGGCGCGGCGCTCGGCGGGGGGCAGCGCTTTTTTTTGCTGCTTGGAGCAGCAAAAAAGTTAGAGCCGGCCCTGGCTCCCATTGGCCAAGAAAAGCACCAATGGGAGCTGCCGGAGCTGCAGAGCAGGAGCCTGCAGTGGGGCAGCCCCTGGGCACAGAAGCGGAGGGGGTCTCCACATGCTGCAGCAGCTCCCTCCTGCCCAATCAGAGCTGCAGGGGCGGGGCTTGCAGGCGCCAGCAACGGGCAGGTAGAAAATTTGTTGATGTGCAGTTGAATACTGCTATGAGAATTGTCACTGGAGTACTGAAGTCAGCACTGACAATCTGTCTCCCTGTCATTTTTACATATTTTACCACCATTCCTCTGAGAATGAGAGAAGCAGCAATAATATGAGAATATGACCACCCAATAATGAACCCGGACTTGACCATCTATGAAGATCTCCAAACCCTCTGACATGCTGCCTTAAGTTCAGGAGCTCCTTCTGATTAGCAGTCAAAGCTCTCAAAACCTTGGGACTATCACTAAAAGACAAGTGGCAGAGGCTGTGGGAAAGCAGTGGGGTCAAGAATCAAGATCTGATCACTGATCCTACAGACCAACCATGTGGCTTCATCATGCCACGTAAGATATGGATCACAGTGAACTGCATTAGAATCTCATATGGGCACTGAATTATCTAAAATTCCATTTACCCAAATGGAAAATGAAGGACAGCCTGATATGTAAATGTGGAGAAGACATCCAAACCATGGAACATCTAGTGAATTGCTACCCTCTAAGATCCTTCTCTAGAATGACAGCCTTATCATTTTGCATCACTGAAAGCCATAGAGCGGATGATAAACTGGGATGTCGACCTTTAATATTGCTTTGTAAGTTTGCCTTGCAAAAGAAGAAGTCCTGAAATTGTGTTCAGTGGTACATCTGCTATCTATCTATGTGCTTATCTGGATCTCATCACTGAAATAGCTGAGCATCTTGCAGTTATTAATGGATTTGATCCCTATTTTACAGATGGGGAGCAGAGGCACAGGATCGATTAAATTTAGGGCTATCAAGCCATTAAAAAAATGTATTGTGATTAATTACGTGATTAAAAAAATTAATCATGATTAATTGCACTGTTAAACAATAATAGGATACCATTTATTTAAATAGTTTTGGATGTTTTCAAATATATTGATTTCACTTACAACACAGAATACAAAGTATACAATGCTCACTATATTTATTTTTATTACAAATATTTGCACTGTAAAAAACAAAAGAAATAGTATTTTTCAATTCACCTAATACAAGTACAGTAGTGCAATCTCTTTATCATCAAAGTTCAACTTATAAATGTAGATTTTTTTTTTGTTACATAACAGCACTCAAAAACAAAACAATGTAAAACTTTAGCGCCTACAGTCCTACTTGTTCAGGCAATCGCTAAGAAAAACAAGTTTGTTTACATTAATGGGCAATAATGCTGCCCGCATCTTGTTTGAGATTACACTACAGTACTTGTATGAGGTGAATTGAAAAATACTATTTATTTTGTTTGCCATGTTTAGAGTGCAAATATTAGTAATAAAAAATAACAGTATAAAGCGAGCATTGTCTACTGTGTTGTAATTGAAATCAATATACAACTCTACCCCGATATAACGTTACCCGATATAACACGAATTTGGATATAACGTGGTAAAGCAGTGCTCCGGGGGGGGGCGGGACTGCGTACTCCGATGGATCAAAGCAAGTTCGATATAACGCGGTTTCACCTATAACGCGGTAAGATGTTTTGGCTCCCCAGGACAGCGTTATATCGGCGTGGAGGTGTATTTGAAAATGTAGAAAAACGTCCACAAATATTTAATAAATTTCAATTGGTATTCTATTGTTTAACAGTGCAATTAAAATGGTGATTAATCACAATTTTTAAAATCATGATTAATTTTTTTGAGTTAATTGTGTGAGTTAACTGCGATTAATTGACAGCCCTAATTAAATTACTTGCCCAATGTCACACAGAAAGTTTGTGGCTCAGCCAAGAATTGACCTGGAGGCCCAGTACAGTGCTTAGCTGCTCTTATACCATCCTTTAGACCCTCAAGTTTTTTATTGTACACAGTATATTAAATACATGTGTGTTGGGTGTGTGATTAGATGTTTGGGCAGAAAGGAGCAAACAGGTTGCGCGGGGCATGGAATGGGGCAGGACCGTGGCTGGAACAGGGGTAGGGCTGTGGGGGCTAAGGGGCAGACTGGGGTGGGGCTGTGGGCGGGGCCGCAGGCAAAAGGGATGGGGAGGGGCCCCCCACTTGCTCTGGCCCAGGGCCTTAGGAAACCTTAATCCATCTCTGTTTGCCGCTTTCCCTATCTTTCCATGCCCCTCTCTTTCTCCGTTCCACTCCCTTGCACCAAGTGTAATGAATGTTCTGGCTCCTTCCTTCCAGACTAGCTGAGCTGGAAGGAGAGGATCTAGCTGGTGCAGGGCACTGTGTGTTCAACACCCAGCCAGTAGAGGGCTCCATAATCCCTAGAGAAAGCACATCCTGCAGATCACAGGAGATTGGCTTTGGCAGAGAACCAGGGTGCAAGGAGGAGAAGCAGGTTGGAGGCAGCAGCCTGAAAGCTGGCTTGTGGGAGTGAGTAACAAAGCAGTTTGCTCCGATCTCATCTTTCACTTCCAACTCTCAAAGCCCTGGTCTACACTACAGGTTTAGGTCAAATTTAGCCGTTTTAGGTCGATTTTATAATTAATACGTCTACACAAGCAATCCTGTTCCGTCGACCTAAAGGGCTCTTAAAATCGACTTCTGTACTCCTCCCCGGCGAGGGGGGTAGCATTAAAATCAGCCTTGCTGGGTTGAATTTGGGGTAGTACAGATGCAAATCAACATTATTGGCCTCCGGGAGCTATTCCAGAGTGCTCCAATGTGACCGCTCTAGACAGCACTTTCAACTCCGATGCACTAGCCAGGTACACAGGAAAAGCCCTGGCAATTTCATTTCCTGTTTGGTCAGTGTGATGAGCTCAGCAGCACAGGTGACCATACAGTCCCCCCAGAATCGCAAACGAGCTCCAGCATGGACCGAATGGGAGACACTGGATTTGATTGCTGTATGGGGAGAAGAATCTCTGCAGGCAGAACTCTGATCAAAAAGAAGAAATGCTGATATATATGCCAAAATCACACAGGGCATGATGG